AGGGTTGCGGCCACGGGATCTTCATCCTTATCCTGGTCACGGCACCAAATGAAAGGAAGAAGGCCTTCGATGCGGAGTCGTTTATTCGGAAATGCCAACTGACCGGTTACAGACCATTGAACTGGGAAGCGAAACTCTAATATGCATCTTAGTTAAAAAAACTGGACACACATCTTCTCCCGAACGAGTTTTCCTAGAGATTAGTTGCCTCCACTCATTCGTCGGTCAAATCCAAGTAAACGTTACAAAGTGGCCCCACGAATTCCGCAACAGAATTCCCTTTTCCCATCGATGCAAAACGAAATCCTACAAACAACACATACTACTCGCGTGCCTCCCGATCAGTAGTATCACCGTTACACTAGTAGTTAGCATAAGGGATGGATTGGAATGTTGGTACGCGGAATATTAGGGTTAGATCAAGAATGGCCAGTCTTTCCGCGTATGTTTAGTTCCGGGTTCGGCGCAAGATCAGTAGTATCACCGTTACACTAGTAGTTAGCATTAGGGATGGATTGGAATGTTGGTACGCGGAATATTAGGGTTAGATCAAGAATGGCCAGTCTTTCCGCGTATGTTTAGTTCCGGGTTTCGGCGCAAATCTCCTGGCCTTTCAGTGTACTAGCCCGTTTAATTCCTCATCTCACTTGAACCCGGGATATTACGATTCATAAGCATGCTCGAAGTGTACGTCAGAGTTAGCTGCTACAGGGCTATGTGGAGCAGTAATATGGGGGACTCTTGCGATTTTCGCGTTTGTTTATTGGAGGCGACCGATACTCTGCAACATTCGACGCAGTTCCTTAAATTCGCTTCGCTGAACATTTCAAGTTTATTTCGCCAAAAATGGTCGCTTTTGGTCTTATGCGTGAATCTTTCTTAAAGAGCTGTCATTAACTAGTTCAGGGGAACGTAATGTAAGTGATTTGAAAGGCAGTCTGCCAGGTATTTTTGAAACTTCCAGAAACATGTCAACCACGGCTTTTTACAATTGTGGCTTCATACAATTTCGGCGCTACTCGCCTCGAAGGATGGGGACCACCCGATCCTCAATGCACCTGTTTGGAGACGAGCAACATATGCCTGCTGATCGATGTCAATGGCGTTCTTGTTGTCAGTTTCTATCCAGATCGCCTGAATGAGTGTCCGGAGGTTCAAGCACCTCGGACTGATTGTAGTAGGTTATCACCAAGTCCCTTTCCCATCACCTTTTATTCTTTTCTTCACAATGAGGCTTTCAGATAATGTACGGCAGAGTTGCCCATTAATGTCATGCTGACGATGATGACGATGAAGCTGGTCTACAGAATTACGAAAGGTAGTCGCTTTGACCGGCGAAATTTTAAACTGTGGTTGCTTTGAATTTTTGGTGTAGCCTGTGATACAGCCAGATTCAGCAGAATCCCTTTGAAAAGGTTTTAAATCGCCTGCATGTCATAGAATCATTTCTGGATTCGGGGACATGCAGCAAAGATCTCACCATTGCCAAATACTTTTGCTCGCGGTGTTCAGTGGGTGATAAAGTTCACAAAAATTAGGAGAAATAACGCGACAATCGAATTAACCCAACAAGGGACAGAAAATATATTTACTGTACCTACACAAACCGAAGCGCTCCAAATTTGCATTCGCCATACACAAACCGAAGCGCTCCAAATTTGCATCAGAATAGAGAGGGTGCATTGAATAGGCGCTTCTTCGGAGGTTCCCACAACACTGAACGAAGTGAAAGTAGAACATAAGTAGAACACAAGGTTGACGGAAACTCGGGGACTGCGCCTACCTGATGAGCCCCAAGAAGGGCGAAACCGGTCATGGGCTGTCGAAGAGTTTTCAGCAACCTTGTGAGTAGTTTCCTTTATGAAGTGTAAGTAGTTTATCTTTAGATGTTGTGTAATGACAATACAAGGCCAACCTCTACCAGATGCGGGAAAATCACTTGTGTTCTTAATGGATTTGTTGAAAGCCGACTGTGAGAAAATGTTAGAGACATCAAAAATATATGTCGGGCATTCATCATAGCAAACATCATCGTAGTCAGTAGCGATTAGGACCAGACCTACTGCCTCCAGGACAGGCTTGCGTGCGGACTAGAAAACAAGAACACTCATAAATTAACAAAAGGTACCAAAGAATCACGCACTACAGTGAAACTTACAATGAGTAGGATGCAGATTGCGATCACCAGGAAACGGCATGGAACGCTTGAGCATGCATCTGAAAGACATACATTCTAAATTATGAGCGTAGTTCACACACGAGTGTTGTAATGTCAATGTGAGCCCGAAACTTAATGGCTATTCAAATAAAAATCTCGTGGTTCAACGAGTTAGACGATAGGACGAACCAAGATGGATGGTAAATTATTCTTTAAGCTCATCAGCTGCACACCAAGGCAGATGAAGCAGAAAATAAACCGCTAACAATTAGTAAAGATTGCCTTGAAAATTATGATTTATAATGAGAGCATAGATGAATTCATGAACGTGTCTTAGATTATGAGAGACTGGTCGTTTCCGGGAATGTTTGGTAACAATCGGTAGATTTATTACTGGGCAACGTTTCGCTTTTGACACAAAAGCTTTGTTTGGTCAAGGACTAGGTTACCAAATTAGTCGGGATTTAAGGCGGAAGGGGAACCGATCAGCTAGTTCAAGCTAAATCTCTGTTAGGCGTCGACCGAGGGATTTTGTGTGTTAGGGTGGATGACCAAGTGTTAGGCCGATGGGGATTCCTACATGGATTCGGGTCCAACCTACACTCTAGTTCTTCTGGTTCAGTTCACGTGATGATCCCTCTTGAACGTCGTTTGACCTTTCCGTCCGTCTGTGTGGATGAGCCAGTGCTACGATAGTTGTGTTGAGAGTGATGTCTACTACGATTTTGTGAGTACGGTGGACACCCCAGGTGCAATGATCGAACAGCCAAGTATTTCATTCCATCCCATTATCACCATCACCATCAGCTTAGATGTGCTGATGGTTCCCGGCAAATCTATGCGTGACTTTCCTCTGAGTTATGTCAGCGTCTGACGTTTGAACGTATCCCGATTGTGGCTCAGTGCTAACCGTTTCCTATTTGTCTACTGTGCACAAGTGTCCTGCGAATCAGTGACCACTGGCTCACAGATTTGTCTCAGATCTCAGCTAACTTTCTATGTGTATACTTACCTATGTTTATATATATATATATATATATATAGCGCAGTCGTTATAAAATTCAGGGGCTGGGGCTGTTTCTGCATCCTAATTTAATCGGTCAAAACGAAATCGGTGAAACGGTCAACGGACAAGCGGTGAGCGTTTGTTGGTGGTGATGTCTATACTGAGCACACATTTCGTCAACTTGAGATGAATGTGTGATTCAAAGAGTCGTTAGGTGTTATCTCTGTATATTGTAGCCTGCTTGTGGATCCAGCTAAAAGTTTGAGTGTTCATCCCGGGTTAGCCTTCGGCCGAGAATACATTAAAAGATTCACATTAACTGATTGCGGAGACAAGTATTTGCTCTTGAAAGATAGTCCTGGAAGACCATTTTTGTGGGGAGAGTAGCTTTACTTGCAGCTTTACTACTTGCTTACTACCCTAAAGCAGGCAAGCACTCATCAGGCCGTATTTTGTGCGACATGTGATTTTGAAATGTAACATCACACGTCTAGGACCGAACGAAAACCTCTGAGGGGTTTCGCTTCAAGAAAGTCATTAGAGCTGGTGGCATGTAACAAGCATATCACTCAATTCAAGTCTTTGGACTTTGGTACCACGAGCACCCATGGACTGTTTTCTGTAATATTCAGGAAATAATGGTCAGAAATGCAAGTAAATTTCCACAACACTTAAATTTCCAGGGACGCCACGGATTTCCACAATTTTGCCCGTTTTTCGAAGCACATTAATCCAACGGTAGTTTTTATTTCCATAATTCAGTAAAGATTAGTTATGGTAATAAATTCTGGGGGATGATATAACAACATAAGAGCATTTTGGTCCATTTCGAATAGGTGGAACCTTCACTATTCGGCTATTTTGCACTAAATCATTAGCGTTCCGTCAAATGGGATTGTCTGTTGAGGAGATACTTTGGCCCTTGAGGCCTGAAAAATGACCTTTCTCGGTCGAAAATATACCTGTTACATACATCAGCTAATAACAGTACAATTGAAGAACCAAACAAGCGACCGTCGCATCGGCTAGATTCAACTTGTAACCATGGACAAATAACTACACCCTTTCTCGGTCGAAAATATACCTGTTACATACATCAGCTAATAACAGTACAATTGAAGAACCAAACAAGCGACCATCGCATCGGCTAGATTCAACGTGTAACCATGGACAAACCAATAACTACACTACATACCATAAGAACTGGTGCTCTTTTTTGGCACTATGAGGTAAATAAACAACCATCTCATCCAGTAAACCAGTAACTGTAAAACCTAATATTCTAAGGCTACAGGAGAAACTGACAGACCAGCTGTTAATAATGCCAGGGGTAGTGTGGTTCACAATTGTCAACAGAACTCCTTTATTTTTTTTATCGTGAACGGCTGTTTCAATTCAGTTCAGGAGAAACTGACAGACCAGCTGTTAATAATGCCAGGGGTAGTGTGGTTCACAATTGTCAACAGAACTCCTTTATTTTTTTTATCGTGAACGGCTGTTTCCAATTCAGTTCTCCAGTTGCTTCATAAGAATAAGCTGAAGCAATCCACAAAGCGGGTTAGGTTCCAAAACTACGTGTTTCGCTTTTTCAAGTCCTAATTCTGTCTACTCCGAAACAAGGCATTCGCACTGTCCCATCTAGTAGCGAATCCGCATATTAGAATAAATTTCACAGTTTACTGTCAGTATGCGCTTCTCGGGGTGTAGTTGTCCAAATGACCGAATTATTTTTCGCTTTGTTCATGCAAAGTAATTAAGTTTTAACCTAGACCAAATGCCTGCAACACTCGTTTGCTTTCACTCAATAAAGAATAACCTATCCACTACTAACGACTGGTCGACCTTTTTACGTGGTCCGAATGGGTTCAGAACTTAGTTAGAAACTTGTCATGTCCGCGTTCGGACTAACCGTATATTGCTCATGCTAAGGTACCCACAAAAGTACCGTTAGATTCTATCCCTTGTTCACAAGATCTAGATCGAAGACATCAAATTGTTTTGCTTCTGAGCTAGGTGCTAAACATCAGCACAGAAATCCCGTGCCTTGGTCGTTGGCACTAGTAAGCTTCCACTGATTCGTCTCCTACACAACGAAAAACATGCAATCGAAGATCCTATCGCCCTATCAAATAGTACGTCTGTGAAAGCATATTAATCCGTTCGCTGTCCATATCTTGAGACCCTTAGTATTACTCCCTGCTAAATAATTTTCATTTGAATCGCCAGTCTAAATGATGTTTTTATTCATTCCGAAACTACGAAGACCTCAACGGCTGAGTCAATTCCTCTGCAAGGTTCCTCATAATCGGAAATAAACGGAACCCACTGTGTACAGGGGTAGCCGATTCGGAGTAATTTAAAAGTCATTCTTTGTCGTCAACGTTGCTAGGGGGCTACCATAGATTTTAACTCATCGTTTATTCTAGCACCCAATACGAGCACCATGACCTAAAACGGCGTGCAGCTGAACCTCACAGTTGAACCGCTGTACAGGTGTAACGGAGAATGCCACTGATTAGAGCATGCAGGTAGTATATTTTCTCGTAAATCCGTTTCGCATCTCTTGAAAAGTGAGATCTATTATGGAATTTGTGAAGTCGCATTTGCTCGCATTTGGGCAACAGTCAGCGAACATTTAGGAAAGTTGAGGAATGCGCATTCAAGGAGAAGATGCATATTCAGTTCTTGCAATATGAAAATTTGGCTTCTCTTTCCAATAGCCTGTAACTGTTCACTTGGCGTTTTCTAGTCAATAGCAGCAAAGGCCTTCCCTTTCACAGGCAGTACCCTCACAAGTCCTCGATCCTTTGTTCATTCCGTGTAATTTCTGTTTCAACCTTCAGACAAACGGCTCTCATTATTTTGGTAGCCAAATTTTGTCCTTATATGCCAACCTCCGTTCATTTAAGAAACAGGAATTAATATCATCTTAAGCTATGCGACTTTACACTGGGATTTTACGTACTACACAACTTTCACTGCCTCCGGTCTTTGACTGATCTGGGCGAACAATACATTTGGAAGTTTCCCACACATCAGAATAAAAGGTGTGAATACCCGCCTCGGTAGACCCAGCCATGGGCGATGGGCTATATTGAAATTATTTTATGGTTTTGAACATTAACAGAGCTCAGCCGTTGAACAAAGCCGTTCATAAAGCTCACAACATAATGAAGTTTTCCATCGGAGCGGCTAGTTTCACAATGGAATACACAGTTTACACAAAATACATGTTGATATGCCATAGAGTCTACCAGCATAAGTTTGTGGTAAATCGATAGATTTCAATTCGATTCGTGTCAAAGCGCCATTCAGATAGCTGGAAAGCCAGATATATCAAATTTCTCAGCCAATTTTTTTTAAATGTTACTGTAATCCATTTAGACCAGGGTCCATTTACACTGACACGTTCGTTGTACATGTGAATAGTAATGATAAGTGAACTTCGAGTCCAAGACGGTGCAACCACCCCGTTCCGATCTGTCAGCAACTCAAAGCAAGTGCACATCCTTTACAATTATTCATAACTCTAACTGATTGTCAAGTCAACAGACTTCTGGCCTATCCACATGACTGTATACATCCCCGTACGAATGAGGCTGCTATGAACATAACTCGGTTCCCAGTAAACACTGTAAAGGAAACTCAATGCCATATTGCGTTCTTCAGTGACATGCAAAAAGGCGCTCACCAAAGTGTCGCATGATACATTGAAGTCTGATAAAAATCCAGAATATTTTTGGCAATACATCTCCACAGGTGGCACACCACAAAATTAAAAGGCGTATGCCCCTCTTTTTAAGTTGTTCCAATGAAACATCTTCATGCGTATACGTGTTTACTTTTAAAATGTTCTAAGATTCAATGAAAACAACTTTTTACTTTCTTCATATACTCCGGACATACAAAAGTTTACATGACGTTAAATGCTTAAAATACGGTTATAAAGGGCGTTCGATTGTCCATTTGATTTTAGACGACACTGGACGTGTTAAACACTCCTTGTATGGAACGCCTTAAAGGATTTAACCTGATTTGATGCTCAGCCACTCT